TCGGCTATTTCGGCTTCATATATTTTATCTTCCTCAATTGTTGCAAACCAGGTCGAAAATGTATATTCAGCACCATCTACTTTAAACATATCTTTTGCTATCTGAATTCCTTTTTGCCATACTTTTTGATACTCTTCATTATTTGAAAATGAAACTGGCCAAGTCACTTTTTTATCTAGATCCTTTGAATCTTCTTCTAGTTGAAAACCTTGGGGTTTCTTTTGCGATCTGCTAGAAGACTTTTTCATTAAATCAAACTATTCTGTATCTGTATTTGGAACCTTTTTACTAATAATACTTGGGTTGTTTTTTATCTTAGGATTCGCTAACCAGTTGGCCAAATCCTCTATAGATAGAAGGCTAGGTACTGATGATTAAGATTTGGATACATTAGGACAAGATAGCTGAACTGGATCAGGTATTTGGATTTGTTTACACTTAAACTTTTATTAAGATGATTTGTTAAATCATGAGTCTTTTTAAAATCATTCTTTCCACATCAGGGGCATTGAAGTACCATTTTCGATAATAAGTGAAGCAATTCAGTTGTTTGTATTAATAGTACAAAATATTTTGTTCAAATAAAAATAATTAATTATCTTAGCTTTTGAGTAAGTAATCATATCTGTCTTCGCTTAATCTTGTATAGCAACCAGCTAAATCCTAAAGTAATTACTATATTTCTTTTTTCGAGCTTGTGAAAAAAAATACCAGAAGGTTGCTTTGAACATTGGAAAGCTAAACCTCGCATTTCTTGTAAGGTTTGCAGTAAGCCAACTAGTGCTGAACCCAGTCTTTGTAGAGATTATACTAGTGGTTACTATGTAACCCAATATATTAATAGGCTTCAGAATAGAGCATCTCTCTTCTCACAATGACCTACTGCACCTTTTTATAATAAACTACTCGAAGCCATTCAGGTAGGCGAACACATTTTAGAAAAATGATGGTTTCCAATAGCTCACCAAAAGGTGATCCCCAATGGCCCGCCAAAAGGTGATTTCTAATGGTTCGCCAAGGTGATCCCTAATGGTCTACCAAAAGGTGCTTTGCAAGTATATTTTTTTTACATCCGCACCTTCTCATAATTCCTTTGCTCAAAGCCACTCAAATAGGTGAACACATTTCAGAAAAAAGAAAAAATGTGAAGTAGAGTAACAAAAAATTTACCCAAAGGTAAATCTATTTGCCTTCTAATAACATACTAAAATAGAATAGCAATATAGGTCAAAAAAATATAACATCTATATTCACTTCGCCCTAAAGGGACTATACTTATATTTCTGTTATTTTTTTTTGACAAGGGCATCCGCATCATCTAAGGGCTTATGCTTCTGCCTCTTTTTCAGCTATCTATATAGTATGCTATTAGGAGGTGATTTGATTATATTATATACAAATTTTTTTTTTCACCTCGAGTCTGCCTATAGCAATTTAAGGTTAATAAGGCTTCAGGTAGGTAAGAAAACAAATTAGTGAATTTAAAGTTAACAAGGAGTCGGGTAAACAAGAAAAGAAATTAGTAAACTTAATAAGTAGAAGATATTAGAGCGCATTCTTGATATATAAAAATTTACACCATTATATAGATCTTCTAATCCGATTCTAAAGCTAAGTAGGATAGCAAAAAATATAGTATTTTTTATATATAATAGTGAGCCCAATAAGGGCACCAAAGGAGTTCTACGGGTATAAAAATTTACACACAAGTCTGCCCACTCTTCCTGCTGCTTGTGTTATGACTAATTATATTTAATGATTAGTTGAAATAAGATATCTGTAACTATAGTTATACCAGCAAGACTAGGAGGTCTAGGGCATTTGTGTGATGTAAGGTTATATAAAAGAATATAAACTAATAATAGGATGATACAAATACAAGATAAGCCTTTAGGCTATGTAAATCTAGAGAACTGCAAATATAGAAACCTACTTGGCAAGTTCTGAATAGAAAGATAGCACAGATCTTCAACAGAGCTACTGTAAAAATTAAACCCAGGAAATAGAACCCAGGTAAACTGAACTAGAGATATACTGTAAAATAAGTTCTGAGGTTTAAGTAAACTCTACAAGGGCAGAAGTAGGTTTGGGTAGCAGAGTTTAACCAAACTAGAGTTAAATTATAGAAAGAAAGCAGGAGAAAGTTTAAGCTAAGGAAAAACTATAGACAAAGACCTTGACCTGGTACTATACATACTCTCAGAATAGGTAAAACTAAGCTGCAAGTAGTGGGCTACGATCTATGTATATCAAACTAAAGTGCAGGCTAGGTGCAGTATAAAGTGGATGGTGCTGAATATACATTTTCGACCTGGTTTGCAACAATTGAGGAAGATAAAATATATGAAGCCGAAATAGCCGA